AGATAGTGATAAAAAAATTAAGTAATAAGAGCTTCGATCCCACACGTAAGTTTTATCTATTCATAATGTATCCAAAATATTTTCAGATACAAAAACAATATCTGGTATACCCTAGTAAAAAATAAAAACTGATTCAAAAAAATATGATTCACACGTGAAAAAAGTTTTTAATCTGAATTTCAAATGATTAATGTACAATTTTGATAAGATAAACTTAATTGATCTGAAACACTATTTTACAAGTATTTCTATTGAAATGTTTGACGAATACGCCATCTATGTTAATTATTTAATTCGATATAAATCGTGATTAATATCAAATAAATAATATATTAAATTTTTTATGTATCCAAAATTTAAACCAAAAAAGTTATTTATATATAATTTCCATGCTTTTCAGATATGATTCATATATAATTTTTACAGAATTTGTGTGAGAATCAGTATACTCATATTTCTTCAGTATATATTTCTTTGTTTACGGGGGTATAATCGGGATATCATACTTTTTGCCGATTTTTCTATGTCGAAAGTATGTACTGATTATATCCCAGCAATACAAGAATATATTTGGAATATTAATAGGATATATCTTACATATTTTTAGAATTATAAAAAAAAATGTTATTTAAATTAACAAAAAAAAAATTTTTTTATTCTATTGATTGAATTGATTGAACTCATCAACAAAATAATACTAAAAAACTCAAAAATGATACTAACAGTCATAAAAAAAATACAGAGGTTCTCATGGCTGAATACGGCCAAGCTATGCCGATATAAATAACAATAACTCACTATTTTCGACGATGACAAAGCCCAACGACCTTATTCAATTTATCAACTTCCCAGTGGGAAGTTATAGTAATGGGTCCGATTTTGCGAATCCCGAATTTTGAAATATCTCCACGTTTTAAGGTCCCCAGAGTCGAATACGATCGTTTTCCAGTGGAGGTCTGTGTGTGTATGTACGTACACTGAGAAAAAAATTTCGTTAAATGAAAGAATTTTTTATCCAATTAATAAAAGAAACTTCGAATATTCTCAAGATAATATTTTATTTAGACTAGTAGTGTTATCAAAAACCCATTTTGTCTTTTGTTTCAATGTTGCGACAAGTTTGAAAACAAATTTTCAAGGTTACGACAAGAATGAAAACAAATGACATTTTATTCATTTGAGTAAGTAAAATGATTTCAATGAAATATTCATAATTTCGAAGAAATACTTTATTGCGACTATTTGAAATTTCGATGTTAATAATCGAATGAAATATTTTTTGTATGAAGTACATTTTTTTCTCAGTGTATGTGCGTACGTTCGTTCGAAATTTTCCTGATCGATTATCTCGAGAACAAAAAATGATATCGATGTAGGACCAATTGCATTCGGCGCGTAATTATGTATATAATACTTGTATGAAAATATGATGACAATATTTCATCGAAAAAAAAAAATTTAAAAAACAATATCAGCAATGAAAGAACTTTAAACTCGTGTCAGGATTGAGAAAACAGCATTAAAGACAGTATAATAGTCAATAGTAATTGTTAATAATATGGAATTGTGTCCATAACAATTGAACATTGTTACTAACAAATGATTATTGATCATGATAATATTTAAATAACAAATTTTAAATTCGTATAAATAATAAAAATAGGGACCCTTTCTATATATATGAGTACTTTTAACGCATAATTTTTTCGTTTACTAAAAAAATGTTACCAACCGTATGACATAAATGAAAACATACTTTTTTCGTGTATAACAATGAAATTCGTTGTAAATAATGAAAAAAAGGATCTATGAGGTACATTCGAATTCTTCTAACGCACAATTTTTTCTTTTACTGAAATAAAGTAACTAACCATATCAAATGAATAAAAACACGCATTTCGTTTATTTCAATTGTTATAAAGAATGGAAACAGGTTCGATTCGAGGTGTTTTTTCATTTTTTCCATGTGACTTTAAATGTACTCAAATAAAAAAAAATCTAAAAAATCGTACTGAATGAGTTCGAAACATGAAATTGATGCAAAAAAAGAAAAAAAAAGGATCTTGGTTTTAAAGTGAACACGTAAAAACATTGGTTCATGATTTTTTATTTTTCTACAGAACGAATCAAGAAATTGCGAAAGATCAAGGGAAAATTTTTTATTCCTGCTTTTTGTTAAAACTTTGTAAAGTATTGACGTAATCAGACAACTCAAAAGATTTTTTGTAAAGTAAACTACCGAACCTTTCAAATGCTTTTTCAGAAATGACGATTTAATTAGGTTACCAGAATTCCATCATTGACTTTTAATTGATTTTTCAGTCCTACAACAAATATTCTGCATTATTTTACAATATTTTCTTGTAAATTCGAACGGGTACTCTTCTATTTTCCTGATATTTTATTAACAATTTTTTTAAAATTAAGTTATAGAATAGTCGTTTTTTTAGTTCAAAGTAATGGTAAAAATAAAAAAAAATTTACAGAAATCATAATAAACAAGGAAGGATAAGATCTCAATAATTTCATACAAAATGAATTATTTCTTACAAAAAAAACTGAACAAAATTACAATTAAATTAAAATTCATCTCTCACATCCATCTACGTGAGTAATAAAATATCTCATGAAAGATTAAAAATTTAGTAGAGTCTATACAGCATTCATGCAACTAACTCATTCAGGAAATGTGTCATTCTGATGACGAGACATGCTTTCCTTGACATGTACTACTTTACATGATGTAGCAGATTGGAATGTAAAATCACGCGTACATAAAAATCTCTAAACTTCAGGATAATCTAGCGGCACGATTTAATATCATTAAAATTTAAAAGCAAGAAAATTTGATAAAACAAAAAACTTATAATTACATAATTGTCACGTATTTCAAGCGTAAATATTGAATGTTCAATAATTGTAGCATAAAGACGTAGAATAGAAGTTTTAAACACCGAAGAATTTTATGAAAACATGTTACATTTCCAAACGTTTTTAGAATTTTTTTTTTATATTATAAATTGTTCTCAGCTTTCATTCATATTTTAGTCGTTTCCAAAGCAAAAAAATAATGGTTGTCTTGATCGAATAAATAGTGTACATGAATTGATGCTTTTAGAAGCAATAGAATAAAATAGAGACAGAAAAATATATGAAAACAATCGTAAAGCAAAAAAACCAGGTAGTTCAAATGGTCAACGAATGTGCGGTCGTCAACCTTCTTGGAAATTTGTGTCAATTTCTGTTAAAGTTCGAAACTAGTTTCTGAAAATAAATAACCTAAGTTGAACCTTATCCCGAGGCGTAAAAATTGAACTTATTTTGATCTTATTCACTCTGTTTATTATATATATAATATGAATAAAATGTATAATAAACAGGGTGAATAAGATCAAAATAAGTTCAATTTTTACGCCTCGGGTAAGCCCTAAAAGTGGAATTATGCAGGTTTACCAGTTTAAAGTTAGCGCAATTTTTATTGTATAAAATGAACCTGCAGGTTCATCATTTCAAACTGAAATTAAATGTTGAAGCAGGGTGAATAAGATTAAAATAAGTTCAATTTTCACGCCTCGGGAATATTTATACTAGAACGTGATTGTTCTAGATTATTAATCAATAATTTCATAGATCAATGCACTGTAAAAATACAGCCGTATACTCGTTAAATAAATCATCTTTTTTATTTCCAGTAAAACATAACTATCCAAAATTTACATTTAAAAAATTTTCAAATGCATTGCTGCAATTAAATATTATCATTGACAGTTGGTAATTGAATTTTAAAAAAATGCAAAAAGTAAAGTAAGATTTACTAATCATTGAATAATAAATTTTTTATTAAATTTCTTTTATCTAAAAAAACAATGTCATCCGTTTAAGAAAACTGTTTTATTTTTTCCAATGAACCATCGAATTTTTCTAGTCGTATATTTAGTATGGGAATAACGTTGGAATGATAAATAATTCATGAACAATTTCATGGATAAATATAATGCCAATGACTTTGAGCTATTACATTATTTATAGTTTGTGTGACAGAACAATCTGGTATAAAAAATAAAGTACATAGTAATAGATGATACTTAAATAATTTGTGGAACAACTGAAAAGCTAGAGAATGCCGGTGGGATTTTACATCACTTGACACTTAACTGGGCAGTAGGAAAGAGCTTTATGTTTTAGTGTTGAATGTGTGCACTTAATGCTCCCCAATTACACCAGAGGCAACCTGGAGCTTAAAATATTGCGGCATCCAAGTTACAATTAGTACGCTTTTATGGCAGTGGGAGGAGTAACCAAAATTTAGTTTTGTTTTATCTATTTGCATTTTCTTTTCTTACATTATCTTTTCATTTTAGAAAATAAATTTAAAAAATATACTATACTAACTTTGAGTTTTTACTTCTAATGTATTTCATTATAAATGTACTTTACGCATTTTCGATCTAGATAAATGAAGTCTTTGAAAAGTAAACTGTCGGTTTCACGAGAGGCCAAATATAAAAGCATAGAGAGAGAGAGAGAGAGAGAGAGAGAGAGAGAGAGAGCGAGAGACCTAGATGGAGAGAATGTATACAGATAGAGAGTTACACAGAGTGGACAGTATAGGTCAGCGTATGCCTCTACAAGAGCTCTTTTTTATGGACCAAATGTTTGCAAATGACCCTTGACTGATGTATTTCTTGCAAACATTGATTTCATGTTAGTTTAAACCAGAGAAGCCATGCAAGTCTAAAATTACACACGTTCCTTTATTTTATGTAGAAATGAACTAATTTATTAAAGTGACATTTCATCATGATGGGGTGAAATAATTTAATAGAATCAAATAAATGTTAAAATTGTGCAATTGGTTTCTCTCAACTTTCGTTGAGTAGTTTTATAACATTTATTTAATTATTGTTTACTCAGTTAACTGTTAGTTCTTTTATTGGACTTGAGACCTTCTAAATGTAATAAACGCAGAAGTAAAAGAATGAACTGAAAATTTTACTCACGTGTGACTTATTGAAAGAGCATAACTTCGACCCAGTAAGAGGTAAAACTGAGAAGTTAGTTGATTCTTGAGTACTTTTAGTTGAAGCAGTGTTTCGGCATCGTATGTTTCAAAACAACTCACAATTCTCTGATTCACATTCTTGTCTCCGTTCTACCGCACGGGAAAACATACTGATCTAAATTTGGATACGCTTAACTTAAATATTCAGTTGCTGTTGACTGTCGGCTTTATTTGACATCATCTTTTCTAAATCTAATTTTAGAAAAGAGAAAATGATTTTTTTTGGTAGTTTTAGATCACTCATAAGTATACGTCTAATGTTGTTTAATTTTTCTTCCACGGAAAAAATTTTCAATGGTCCAGTGAGGGTGCAAATAATAATAGGAGTAATAGAAAATCTAATCACTCATTTTGAACCGAGGTTTATTTTATGTAAAATTATTGCGGAGATTCCAAAAAAAACTATTTGCAGGCAAAAAAAAAAATGTACGCGTCATTGAATTTTTTTGTTATAAACAATTTTTGCCCACTAGAATACATTTTCATTAGTAGCTTTTCAGTTATGCAGAAATCGAAAATATATTATGTATACTTCATGTGACATTTTTTGTTCTTTCCCGTCTAACGAAGATTTCTGTCACCTCACTTTTTTTCCGCCTATGTTTTGAGATATTTGATCTCAAAAAATGAAAAATAGCGTACTAACTATTTTACAGTTATCATAAAAATTTGTCGGTATCATAGAATTCTTCCCAATCGATCTCAAAACGATTTCGTAGTATAAGATCGACAAAATCTGAAAAAAAATAAGCTCAGACGTCGAGCAAGGGGAAAAATCACCCTCTAAATCATTTTGTATGCATTTTTTCATGTTTTTTTTATTCTTTTCGAGAACTATAAGAGATATGAAAAAATGTTTTAAACAAAAGTTTTAGAGGCTACGATTTTACATATAAAGGCCGCATCTTCGACTTTGCTTAAAAAACAGAGTTGATTAATGCTAACGTGCAAATAATTTGTTTTTCTATTATTATATAATAATATAATATTAAAAATTAATATTTATATTTGACCCTCAGTTACCCTATGTATGAATAAAAAAAAACCCAAAATTAAATAGCATCCTGAGGAGAATTTATTTTAAGTATGCCTAAATACCGATTGGGCCCTTATTGGGAATTAAAAAGTGAGCATAAATTAGGTATTCTGAACCTATGCCTGATCAATTTGAACCTTAAAAACTTAACTGAAACGATGTTTTAGTTCGTCATTTATTAGGAAATGTGTATTAGGTCCACATTAGGCTAACAAAAATTACATCTAAATTACGCTCGTATTACATTAGCCTTATTAAAATGTTTGAAGAACGAATCAAAAAATTATAAGGATGAATTCAAAATAAATTTGTGACAATATAAAAGATCTAAATTGAATTAAGTATTTTCTTTAAATTCCAATAACAAAGTATTTTAATAATATAAATATTTCCAGATATCCTTTTTCCTTTGAATAATAGTTAATTGTTTTTATTAAGGCTTAACTGGATTATACTGATTCGAAATATATTGTAGTTTCAGAAAAAATAAATAATTTAAAGGTATGAAAATATTTAAACCCTTAACATTATTTATTATTGAGATTTAAAGTAAATAATAATTTATATGAATCTTTTAAAAAATTATACATATGGACTCGTTCATATTAATATAATAGTAATAATGTTTTAATTGAATAGTCGAGCGGGTAAAGGCACTGGTCTCAGATGCGAGCAAGCTAACGATCATAGGTTTAAATCCCCCACGGAACAAATTTCAGTATATGTATTGTCGAGGACATTGAATTGAAACACGTTTAATAATTAGTATTTTAATAATATAAAATTATAAAAAATGAGATAATCGAACAATTTAGTTTTTATATATAACTCGCCATAATTAAGCTTTCTTCACTCGGTCTCAATAGAGAATACTGTTACATTCCCAATGTGGGCCTATAGAGGGCATATAGTAGCCGTAAATTTAAGCCCTATGCTATCGTGTATTTTTAAGTTTTTCAAATATTTAATTCTACACGTTGCAACAGTCATCGCTCACGTGACCTCCCGCACTAGAAGGCCCCGCCCCTTTACAATTAAAACGTGTAGAATTAAATATTTGAAAAACTAAAAAATACTCTAGATTGAGTAAAAATTGCTGAAAAAAGACGTACAATGAGTCAAATCGCACGAGAAAGTGCGTAGAATTCATTTTTTTCATAGAAAACTATAAAAAATAATGTAGAAATTCGAAAAAATGAAAAAAATGTAAAATTAATTAATAATTAAAGTTCAAAAATAATTTTCACACGAAGTAGTAAAGAAATACTTAAAAGTAGTATAGTCAGATAAATGTAAAAAATTTTTCCCATCAATCCACACTTCTTTCCTTATTCTAATCATTCGTTTTTTCTTCTCCTCACGGATGATGTCTATCATCTTTTCGTTGTTGTTGAGAAATACAACATTGTTGTATGAGTTGAGAGTAGGTATTCTCTATACCTTCCTTTGCTTCTTTTATCATAAATAATTCTCACTTCTTCTTTTATCGCTTTGATTAATAGAAAGTTTTATGTTAATAATTATAAAAATGTTGTCCATAATAATGGTTGATTGATTAGATAAATTACTCAATTTTTTAATCTTTTGAGAAATATAGTTGAATTAGATGAAAACTATCAGTTTTATTTCTTTCAAACCTGATGATATTTTTCACAGAAAATAAGGATGTTTTAATGGTCTTCATAAATCTTATGTGAAAATAAGACCCAAGCAAAATCCAAATAGTACTTTACGTCGATATTAAGACATGATTTATGGATGATTCGTAAATTCAATTTCAAAATGTATCACCTCTTAAGAAGATCAAAGCATTAACAACAATGTTTTGGCGAGCAATAAAATTGATGAATAAAAATGGAAAAATGTATGCATAAATAATATTGTATAACAATATAAAAAAGATTAGGAGCTTCCCATCGTTTAACTAAAACTCCATTTTTTAATTCTAAAGAATTCCAATAAAGTAAATAAAGTTTAAAAGTTGAATCTAAATGAGAAACATCACTAAATTCAGGGATTTTATTTTCCTTATTGAATTTAATTATTAAATTCAAAATACTATCATCATTCTGAAATTTAATCCAATCGGAATTATCATTAATTTCACAGATAGTACGGAAAATATTTTTATTAAAAGAACATTCTTCATTAGCATCCATTTTCAAACATTTCTTACAATTACATGGACGCCGAGATAAAGTATCAGTATTTCTATGACTTTGACCAGGTCTATGCTGAACTTCAAAATCATATTGAAACAAAATTTCTAACCAACGAGCAACTTGATCTTTAGGATTTTTGAAAGAAAGTAACCAGCTAAGAGAAGCATGATCAGTTCTAATTGTGAATCGTTTACCGAGAAGAAAATGACGAAAATGTTTAATCGCAATAACAACAGCTAACAATTCTTTTTTAGTAACGCAATAATTTCGTTCACGACTATTTAAAGTCTTACTAAAATACGCAATAACCTTTTCTTGATGAATAATTTCACCATTTTTCTTAATTGGAATTTTCTGAGATAGAACTGCTCCAATACCAACATTAGAAGCATCAGTGTCAAGAATAAATGAAAAATTAGGATCAGGATAACCTGAAATAGGTGTAGTAGTTAAAATTTGTTTCAATTTTTGAAAAGTTTGAAGAGCTATATCATCCCAAATAAAATCTTTTTTCTCTTCACTAATTAAATGAAGAGGTTTTGCTAAAGTAGCGAAATCTTTGATAAATTTCCTATAATACGAGCAAAGTCCAAGAAAACTCCTAAGTTCACTTTTATTTTTCGGAATAGGCCAATTAATAATGGCAGAAATCTTTTCAGGACAACTCTTTAAACCTTCACCAGAAACAATATGACCTAAAAAGACAACCTCTTTTTGGAAAAATATACATTTCTTAACATTATTTTTAAGTCCTGATTGTAAAAGTCTTTCAACAACATTTTGAAGATGAATAAAATGTTCATCAAGACTCTTACTGAAGATAATTATATCATCTAAATAAACTAAACAAATTTTGCCGAGGAGACCTTGTAAAACTATATTCATAAGTTTCACAAAAGTGGCAGGAGCATTACATAAACCAAAAAGAAGAACTTTAAATTGCCAAAGTTCACTTCCAATGCAAGAAGCTGTTTTCTCACGATCTTCAGGAGCATCTTCAACTTGCCAATATCCACTTTTTTAATCAATAGTCGAAAACCATTGAGCACCGAGAACCATATTTAAAATATCTTCTTGATGAGGAATTGGAGTAGAATCCTTAACTGTGACATCATTCAACTTTCGATAATCAACACAAAATCTGATATCACCACCTTTTTTAGGAACAAGAACAACAGGAGAAGCCCAAGGACCATGAGAAGGTTCAATTGCATCCTGTTCCTTTATTTCTATCATAACAGTATCAACTTTTCCCCTATAATGTAAAGGAATACGACGAGGAACTTGTTTAATAGGAAGAGCATTTCCAACATTAATAGAATGTTGTAAAATGTTACACTTCTCAATATCGAAAGAATTTTTCGAACAAATATTTAAATTTTTCAATAATAATTGTTTAAAACGTAAAACATTTTTCTCATCCAATAATTTTGAAGATCTATGAAACGAATCTAAAATAAATTCAGGAAGATCATTTAAATCAAGAGAAATTTCATTAATTGAAACAACTTTATCATTAGTAAGAAATTTTTTATGAAGAATTTCCATAAATTCACCAAACAAACCTGACTTAACTAAGAAATCTATTTTCAAAATACATTCTTCATAAATTTGAGCAAAAATAACCTCTAAACTAATTTTGATATTTGAAATCTTAATTTCTACAGTCTCAAGAAAATCAAAATCAAATTTATCACCAGAAACTGTAAAAATAGAAAAAGAAGAATTATTTACTCTAGTAAACTTCTTATTGAAAAGAGAAGAATTAACAACCGTAATATCAGCAGCAGTATGAAAATATGATGACAATATTTCATCGAAAAAAAAATGAAGTAACTAACGATATCAAATGAATAAAAATACACTCATTTCGTTTATAACAATTCCATTTGTTATAAAGAATGGAAAGGGGTTCTATTCGAATTGTTT